CTCATCAACTCTGAACTAAGGAAATGGACGGTAGGAAAACGCGGTTAGGGGGTAAGAATTGTGGATCAGTTTTTTCTACGAACGTCCCATCCGGCACCTGCCCAATGGAAACGATCTGGAGAACCAATGCAAATCCACTTGATCGGGAGGCAAGTTCAACTAGCAAAATTTTTCGATTCCCGAAAGCTTGACAAGGTTAAATACCTCAATAAATTTCCGGCACATCCCAATCCGCCTGTAGGCTCGAGCCCTAAACACGGCACACTAGAGGCTTCAGGACAATCGAACTGAATGTCAATACAATGCTTCTGGCCGGGCCTAGGGGCTCGAGGCCGATCCGGGGACTAAATGTTTTTTATTTTTTTAGCTAGGCTAGAATGTGGAATTCCCGGCCGCTGTCTGGAGGAGAAAATTCTAGCTTGGCCGGTGGCCTGATCGGTAGTTTTTCAATGTTTTCTCGGATGCAACAACAGGTAAAAACATTAATGTATATGAACACATTTTCAACTCTTTTGGTGTCGTTTAAGATCGATATAACAAAAATGTAATAAAATATCAGTGAATAACAACTAGTAACTATGAAGTACTAACTAATATTACATTACTTATTTTAAAATAAAACAATTAAACATATTATACATTCATTCCGTTAAGGGTAAAAAAATCGTGAGAACATTCTCGGTAAATTTGATGAGTGGGTGGTGCTATATGACAAGAGTATTTATGAACTCAATAAAAGAATGAAAATGTCTTGAAAATATAAAAATTAACGGTTAAAATTTTAAGTAATATTTATTACAGTTTCCTTCAGCAGAACGAGCATGTGAAATAATGAAGTTCTGCATACAATAATTCACGTAATTAAAATTTCAGTGAGTTGTGATGTTAGTTTTTACTTCTTCATTCAGATGAAAATAGCCGAAATCTCATACACACATTATTTTTACATTTCTCTTCTTCTTGCCTTGACTAAGAGCATTCGGTACTGCCTAATACAAGCGCCAGCACTGCCAATACAGTAGCGCGAAGGCTCCCTGCAACCTCTGTGGTTGTGTCTGGGACGGTCGACGGTTTCTGTTGGGCTCTGCGCGTCGACGGTTCTGTGGAGCTCAGTGGTCGTCGACGGCTCTGTCTGGACTCTGGGTCGTCGACGGATAGTGTCGAGACTGTGGGTCCGTCGACGGTTCTCTCGTGGTCCTGCGTCGTTGACGGGGTCATGTGGTCGTTCATTCTTAGCAACTGAGTGTGTTGAGAATTGATGTCTTCATGGACCCTGCAACCACTCTAGATTTTCGTCTATGGTGGCTGATTGCAGCCACAGCGATGGTGCCTGAGGTCGTCGTTGTGGTTTTCGATGAATCTTTTCCAATCTATTAAAGAAAATTTATATTTTTTATGAAGTGATCAAACTTCTACAATTTATCCTAATTGCATTAGATGGCTAGCTGTGTGGTTGGAACTTATTGTTGAAAATACTAGGGGTTATCCTGACAATATCATGCTTAACTCATTTAGAACGTTCTGAGAAAGGTGTTCCGTTATTGTGACTTGATAAATATGATAGCGATCTGACTAATATGCTACTAGATAATCTTATACAGATCAAAAAGTCTAATGTTCACTCATTCAATAATTGAACCATTTTTAAACATAACAAATTCCGCGATTGCCGATGCTTGAACAGAGGGAAATCTCCTCCATGGCGCTATGGTAACTCATCACGTTATTGATATAGCATTACTAAGAGCTAGGAAGTTCATGCAATTGCATGTTTTTTGTCAACTCGGTCCATTTTCCTGAAACTACAAATGTGAAGATGTTTTCAATTGCAAATAAACTGAAAATAATGGTAATACATTTCTGCATATAATCGATATTTTGCATTACTCAGAGCGTTCTGGCATATACAAGAAAACTGGTTTTGCATATTTTTCCGACTTTTTGGCCTAAAATAATGACAAAATATTATGTAATTTTCACTTTAAAATATTATTAATGGAAACCATGAACTTTCTTTTTTGCTTCAAGTAATGTTTAGTAAAATGAATTATAGAACTACTGACGGCCTAACAATTACCGAAGTAATATCTGCTGTCATTGGTTTTCATCGGTTTTAAGAAAAGATAAAGAATTGGAAGAAGAATATAAGTGATAGCACTTGGAAATTATTAAGGAGGCAAGGAATAAATTCGTGGTAGCTAAATCCGTGGGCATAAGCCATATTGGAAAGAAAATGAAATTTTTTGAACGAATCTCGCTTTATATTTTACAGGACAATGGGTAAAATCTTGAAAAGAAATAATGTTCACATCTTTAAATGTATTGGCACAGTGTATCCCATAACAATTATGTGGATTCTCGAAATTTATAATTTTCTATTTAACCAAAATTATGTTGTCGCATAGCAGACATGAATTCTAACACACCGAGACCAACCTTGTGTGCTTCTGAGCTTTTAATGCAAAATGAAAGTGCCAGGAGTATATACTAATGCTATTTTTAATTTGAAATTATTTCCTTGTAATCTAGAGAACAAAAATAATGTAATCTCATTGTAGAACATGTTTTTGTGACAAACGCTTATTTTAAATCATGTCAACAATTTTTGTGGCGTTATTTCTACATTCTTCTAACATCTTTGAATGCAATTTCAGGGTTAAAAGTTTGCAGAGACTTTCCGCTCTAAACATTACCTATTATAGATCTTGTTGTCAATGGGAACGTTATTTTTAACTGACGATCGAACATTTTCCAATCACTTCGGACGTTTAAGTAAAAGTGTGCAGTGGTTTACTTTTGCATCGTTGATTGCAGCCTTGACACAAAAACGCCTTAACCAGAAATGCGTTAACCAAACGCACTGCGAATTAATAAAGTCCGATCATTAATCAATAACGAATTTGTAAATGATATGAGAAACTTAAATATTAACCTATAAATAATTTTAAGTCTATAATATACTTCGTGTACATGAACGTACTTTATCTCTTTGGTCGCTGAGTGGATGAGACGACCAGAAATTCAAGCGCACATATGTTGTTAATCCGCAACCCATGGAACCATAGCTTGTAAAAAAATAACGAATGTATATATTATTGAAACAGTAACTTATCATAGGTATGCTAGGTATGTTATTGGAAATTTCCAATTCACGAGTGTTATTTCTAATAAGACTAAAATTGTTTCCAAAAAATATTTAGAATGTTTCTAGAATATAATTATATTGTGATTGGGGCAATCAAGGGCAGCACAATATACGCCCCATGATTGAATAACTCGCACCTTGTGTCAGAAGGAGCAAGGTGAAGAAAACGCTATAATCACAATTAAATTTTACGAGGTGGCATAATGTGTTAATTATAGGCCAGAGATAAATGTAGATGGTATTGCTACGACAAACAACATTTATTATCTTTGCCAACTTGTCGAAGGTGTTGTCAGAAGTTGAGCTGCCACCTCGACGCCGACGGAGTTGCGTAGACGGGAATAGGAGAAGACGCTGGGCTGCGTCTGCTTCGGATGAACTGTTCCCTTGGATGAGTACCCCCAAGAGCTAACACAGACGTTGGGGGCATTTATATTATATTCCGGTGACATTTCCGGCGTGCAAAACCTGGCCTGTTACAATTGTCCTAACGTTCCGTATTATCAGCAAAATTTATCATAAATTTGTCATCTTTGCGATATCATTTAATAATTCATTCATGATCAAAAGATTTATAACTTGCATATAATATATCCCCATGTCCGTCCTTGACTTTTCCGTCCATTAGCCTTCACTTCTTCAACCATACTTTAACATTGCGGCTAGAAGTTATTTTAGTGGGTATACTTCTATAGTAATTGTTGCATAATTAATTAACACTTTTTCAAATAATTCTATATATGAAAACCACGAAGTACTTTAGAAAAGTATTTTGCATAGACATTCCTTTTTTCCTCGTTTTTTTATTTAAAGAAACGTAAATGAACCAAATACTAACTCAATGAGAAGGGTCTTCAATTGTAAGGCAATGCCGAGGCCAGCCATTAAAAGGGTCGTTCTGTAGTTTATCCAAGGAATTCCTTTGTACCCTTTCCAGGCAGCTCATACCAGCGCGTCCTGAGAGTGTCGAACCGCCGTAGCAGTTACACCACGCTGCGAAGTCGGCTGAACCCTAGAAAAGGCAAAATGAAGAGGACCATGTAATCGAAATTATAATTTGACAAAGGAGAAAAGCAGAGGGTGGCTGACTGCACTCTTCTCGCTTGGAGGAAGCTCCGTCGAGGGCGCTGGCGGCGGGCGGCGGGTGCAGGACGGGTGCTGCAGGGAGCACGCCCACGCTGCACACGCGGTTCAGGAACAGCTTGTCGATCGTGGGCCGTCGCGGTCCGCGAAGCCGATGTGCTCGTACCGCTCTCCAGCAGCGGAGCGCACGTACGCCTGCAACCAACACTCCATTCGTGCATCCATCCCACTCGAGCCGCGCGGTGCGCACTGCCTCCAGGCCAGGCAAGGCGAGTGGGGCCACCTCGAAGAGGGGTAATCTGTCGTTGTGGACGAGCATCCGCTGCAGGTAGGAGAAGGCGGCGAGGCGCCGAGGCCGCAGGGATGAAGTCGGCCTCCGTCGCTTGCAGTGTAGTCGGCGAGGTCGAAGGCGACGCCGTAGTCCTAACGCCCCGCGCCGCCAGCGTGAGGCGTCTGTCAGCAGCTGCGCGACGGTTTCATGCACGTGGACTGCCGGTCCAGCGGATGGCTGGCGGTCCTGCAGTGTGGCGGCAGAGCCGCCAGTGTCGTGTCGTCGCTAATTCACCGGTAGAAAACCTGTTCAAAATGAATTAATATGAAAAAAGGAAATTAAATGTTGATATTTCATTGGAGTTTAGAGTTTTATTTTAGTGTTAAGTTATTTTTAAGTGATTCTCTACTATGGAAATTAATGCGTGCTATTCTCACCGGTTCCTGCACGTGAAAATACCCATGCCTGTGCGTTCCGGCAAGCCGGTGACTGTCCGGGTTCATGTTCCTGGGCCAGGGTAGGCCTTGGGCGCCCTGCACCCGCGCCGCCCGCAGCGCCCTCGACGGCTTCCTCCAAGGGGAAGAGTGAGTCGCCACCCACTGCTTTCTCCTTTGTAAGATTATAACTTCGTTACATGGTCCTCTTCATTTTGCATGTCTAGGGTTCCAGCCGATCTTCGCAGCGTGGTGTACTGCTACGGCGTTCGACACTCGCCCAAGGAGTCCTGGTACGAACTGCTGGAAAGGTACAAGTATTCCCTGGACAGCGCAGAACGAGCTCTTCTTTTGGCTGGCCTTGCATGTTCTCACGACAAAGACCTTCTAAATGAGTAAGTGATATGTTTTATCAGATAATGAAGTATTTTATTTACACACTTCTTTACGATAGTGTTAAAAAATGATAATATTTTGAAACCTTACAGTATCCAGACAAGTAAAAATTACTTGCAAAGACAACTGAATAAATAATCATATTTTCATCTTTTACTAGAAATTGACGTTATCTTGATATCAGAGAACGTTTGTACTATTTTCATATTAAAACTTTTGTAACTACTCTCATTCCACTTTTAATTACGTAAAAATGTGAGTAAAATAGCAGTGTACAAAAGTTTGTCTCTCCGGTAAGCGGGTCGCGTATGCTGATAGGTGCAAGAGAAGAAACCTTTTAAACATCCCAACTTCTCTTGCAGATTGCTGGGCTACTCCATCCAAGGAACGTTCATCCGGAAGCAGGACGCAGCCAGCGTCTTCTCCTCCGTCTACGGCAACTCCGTCGGCGTCGAGGTGGCGCTCAACTTCCTGGACGAGCACTTCGACCAAGTGGAAGAATAGTGCGTAGCAATACCTCACATTTATCTCTGCTCAAATTAGCACACGTAAAAATTACTTTAATGCTTTTTCATCCATCTTTTTTGCAGCTATGGTTCCATGGGCGCGATTAACAACATTGTCGTTGGAATAGCTGGTCGTCTCACCACTCAGGACCAAAGAGATAAAGTACGTTTCATGTAACGAGTATATTATAGCTTAAGTTATTTATAGTTAATATTTAAGTTTCTCATTCATTACAAATTCGTTATTGATTAATGATCTTATTTATTAATTCGCAGTGGTTTGGTTAACGTATTTCTGGTTAGGCGTTTTTGTGTCAAGGCTGCAATCAACGATGCAAAAAGTAAACACTGCACACATTTTTACTTAAACGTCGAAGTGATTGGAAATGTTCCGATCGTCAGCCAAAATAACGTCCTTGACAAAAAAAATTATAATAGTAATGGTTAGAGCTGGAAAGTCTCTGCAAACTTTTAACCTTGAAATTTGGATGCAAATATGTCAGAAGAATGTTGAAATACGCACACAAATTGTTGAGATTGATAAAATAAGCGTTTAGTCACAAAAACATGTTCCATAATGAGATTACATATTTTTGTCTCCTAGATACCGGAAATAATTCAAATTAAAAATAGATTAGTATATACTTCTGCACTTTTCATTTTGCAGCTCAGAAAGCCACAAGGTTGTCTGGTGTTAGGTTCTGTTTCCTATGCGACAACATAATTTTGTAAATAGAAAATTATATTTCGAGATCACATAATGTTATGGGATACACTGTGCTCAATACATTTAAAGGTGAACATTATTTCTTTTCAAGAATTTACCCATTGTCTGTAAAGTATAAAGCCCGAGATTCGTTCAAAAAACTTCATTTTCTTCCAATATGCTATGCCCACGGATTTAGCTACCACGAATTTATCCCTTGCCTCCTTAATAATTCCAAGTGCATCACTTATGTTCTCCTTCATTTCTTTATCTTTTTATAAACCGATGAAAACCAATGACAGCAGATATTACTTCGGTGTTAGCCGTCAGTAGTCTATAATTCATTTTACTAACTTACTTGAAGCAAAAAGAAAGTTCATGGTTTCCCTTAATAAATAATTTAAAGTGAAAATTCATATATTTTGTATTATTTTAGGCAAAAAGTCGGAAAATATGCAAACAGTTTCTTGTATATGCCAGAACACTCTGAGTATGCAAAATATTCGATATATGCAGAAAATGTATTACCTTATTTTCAGTGATTTGCAATGAAACATTCACATTTGTAGTTTCAGGAAAATGACCGTTAACAAAAAAACATGCAATTGCATGAACTTCCTAGCTCTAGTAATGCTAATATCAATAACGTGAGAGTACCATAAGCGCATGGGAGGAGATTTCCTCTGTCAAGCATCGGCAATCGGGGAATTTGTATGTTTAAAATGTCAATTATTGATGGTGAAACTAGACTTTTGATCTGTATAAGATTTTCTAGTAGATAATTAGTCAATC